TTGTGAACATTTTCAAGAACGCATTATTAGTTTCTAAAATCTGCAGTAACCTCCTCCCCTTGCATCAAATTGTCGTCCCTTTAATTACAGACATTAAATATGTTAAATAGTTTTAGAATAGATATAAACAGACACTGCAAACGAAACGGTATATAACGTGTTAATACTTTCAAACTTTCAGAAGTTTGCTAATATGCATTAACATATGCTGTATTGTAAAATACAGGTTCAAATCATGATTCTGGGTTTTATATTATATTGAGATTCTCTTTATAACAATATTTTTTTTTCATTTTTTATTTGTTGGTTCATGATTTCTTTCACTACTTTGATCATAAAGAGGTTCTCTTTATAAATCATTTAGGCGACCATAATTTGATTTTTAGTTTTACGGATTTTTTTTCAAGAAAGGTCAAGTCGGAGGACGAAAAAAAGGACAAAATTCACAGTTTATTATTTATTGATACATAATGTTGTGAAGTTACACTGCATTTTGTATAACTGTAATGTTATGCGACTTTTTTTTGGTGACAATATTTTCCAACACATGCAGTCTGTTGTTTTGCATTTGATGAATTGTTAATCAGGGATTTATCAGCCTATTTTTGGAAACGCCATTTTTGGGGAATTGGGAAAAAATTAAAATGTTGCTTAAATCATATACTAAGGTGTATTTCATTTAACATTTCAGCATGAACTCTAATTTTGGCAACCAAACAGACAATTAAATATGATCCAACATCATCATACAAAATCAATTATGAATAACAGACTAATAAAAGTAAAATTGACTTCAATGACTGAGTATAAAGTATTTATACAACTTAGGGTAGTACAAGTGTGTATGAGATTCCAATTTAGGTCATTATAGAATCTGTTGCTGGAGATTATAAACCTCCTGCAAAAAATTATACCAAGTACACATTTCTAAAAGTCCTCTTTTAATACATGTATGAATTAATGCATTGAAAATATATTTTTTATCTGAAAAAATGCCTGGTGTCCTTACCATTCATTCGTAGATCAATTGAATAAGTGGAAATAACATAATAAATTTATATAATTAGACAATATCACCATTTTCAGAAAAATGGAGGAAATTCGGATTAAAAATTAGCGATGTTTTTACAGTATTTTTAAACATGTGTTATGACTTTAGCTTTGCTAAATGAGTTAGATGAAAATTACAGACAATCTGACAAATTTACTTTGTGTTTTTCCAAGATAAATAATTTTAAAAGCATAGCTCACCTATTGGGAAAACACTGCCAAATGGAAGAAAAAAAAAAAAAACAAAAAAAAAAAAAACTCATTTTCAGTTGGGAATGGGGACGAATTTCGGCCCCTGAAAAGGTACTGATAAATCCCTGAACTGTTTGGTTTTTGAAAACCATAAAACCAATCCAACGATGTCCACCATTCGGCACTCGTGTTTTTATGTATCTGAATGATTTTCTATCATAAAACACGGGTTTGATACGAGCGGCTTGAAAAATTCCGGATTTTTTTTTCAAAATGCAAATTTTTAGAGTCGGCGGATCCGTTAAACTAAAAATCAAATTATGGTCGCCTTAATAAAAAAAAATGTTGGCCTAATATTCAACATTGTAACTGAAGCTTTAGAATTCCTTACAGGACTCATTTATTGACCTATTATTGGACATTTTAACCAAGGATTCAACACAGGTGTGAGTAGACATAATAGAGAGGTTGAGTTTCTAAACGTGTACACGTACGTGTACGTGTGTACAAACTTTGACATACACGTACACGTTTTTTGTAATTTGTCTGTTGAGATTTTAAAGACGTGTAACGTGAACGTGTAGACTGTAATCGATGTCTCTGTTTTAACTATTTAGTAGTTTTGTGACATTAGTTTGACTTTAGTTAGTGAACAAAACATGGTTAAAATGAGTGTTCCTGAAACTTAACATCCTAAATAATTAACAACAATAACTGTTTCACACATAAATTGACTAGTTTTTATTGAAAAAGCTACAAGTTTACACCTACGTGTAGATGCCTTTTTACAAGTTGTAGGAACGTGTAGAAAACTTATCAACGCCAAAACTGGTGACGTAATACGCAAGAAATTTAGGGAATTCCCCTACTAGACGTACCCGTACACGTATATGTATGAAATCTCAACCTCTTTAATATTTCCCAGCTACTTGTATTTTTACATTCGATGTAAGGAGTATGTGTAGTGGAGCCTTGATAATCCGTACGCTTCACCGTCATGACCAATTTTGTCGCGAACAGATTTTACACTTAAATATTTATGCATTTTATAAAAGTACGTGTCAGTAATCCGGAAACTTTTAAAATCGGTAAGATTTGTTTTGGAAACTATACCTGGATTAACCAAACTCGACTGTTTACCTTAGTGTAATTTTTTTTTTCTTCCTAATATTCCTTAAATAGAATCTGTCAAAGAATACATGCTTGATGAGAAACATAATGTTCAGTTGTAACAGAATGTGAACTCACTGTTTTATTCTTTAGTTTGATTATTTAAGAACCTTCGCAAATATTTTTCTTCCATATATAATTTCAATTTACGGAACACAGCAGTGGCCTTTTTATAACACTTATGATTAGACATAAGATATCTCCTTTAATATAAAAAGTAACAAAGACAGCAAGGGCACATTTATAAAGCAAATATTTAAACATTTGGTTTTTCAAATTTAAACAATATCTGTATCCTCTTTATATTATAGAGATGGAACGTTTGATCAAAATAATCAAAATGACTGTGTATCTTTCCTTCATGTTTTACTGGACGTCTTAAGCAAGGATGACTGTAAAAAGTATAGTACCAGTAAAGAGAAAATATGGTAATATGCAACTGTTAATATCGTAATATGCAACTGCTAATATGGTAATATGCAACTCGTGTTGTAAACTTTTGAAATGGAATATTTTATTCATGTGGAATAATGACAGATTAGTATTTGTTTTGTTCTTTTAGGAAAAGTTGATCACTTTTTCATTGATGTTGTTGATGAAATAGAATGCAGGGAATGCATGACTGTGAGTACAGTAAATGATGCTGATAGTACCATAAGTACTATTTCTAATATCTGGATGATATCTTTCTTACATACACAATGTCTTGATTTTCACTTCTAGTTAACACTTTTTTAAGTTTATTACAGAAATTTAATATCGATAATCTGTATTGGGAAGAACTGTTTGAAAATGGAGAGCTAAAATGTACTAACTGTGGAAAGAACAGAAAACTGGTCAAAACGTCAAGATTGGCCAGCTGTCCGGCTTTGTTGATGTTTCCGATACAACGCCTTTGGGTAAATTGTTCTTCATACATAAAATTGAGTAATTATACGTGTCACGTGACTTTGTGTGTAGACGTCAATTATCGGTGCTCCGAGTTTTGAGTAAAAAATGCGTAGGAAACAGTGTGAATTTGTGCCATATCTTGATGTAGCTGAATATAATGACTGGAAATAGACAAAACAAGCAGAAGAAGATGAAAAAAGTCAAAAGCAGCAGCATTAATAGCGGTAGTGAAGTCGGTCCCGATTTTAAATATTTCAAAGACGAGGACACCACTTTGAACAGTAATCAAGAGCAGATCGAGCGAGATATAACGGTGAGTGATTTACTGAATCAAGCGAATTCTATTTTATACTCGTCTACTGAGGAACTTAATGACAGTACTAGAAGTGAAACTGACAGTGACAGTGAATTAGTTAATAGTGTATTCGATTCATTCACTTTCCATGACAAGTCACTGGATAATATAAATATGGCGTCAAACCAAACAAGCTCTGGCTCTGTGTCAGGAAAACTAGATACACTATTATCTGTAGTCCTAGATTTAAAGAATAATCAGAAAAGTATGAAACGCATGTTTGAGTCCAAGTTAGACAAATTAAAAACTGGTTTGATGGAAAATGTTGAGAAAAAGATTCTATCATTGAAGGATGAGATATCTTTAAACATTGCTAGAGAGACAAATTGCACTGATCAAATTCTCATTTCTATACAATCCATACAATCACGTCGGAACGATTTAGAAAAAAACATGTAACAGGGGATAACGGCAATCACCTTGGAATCACCGGACACTCGTTAGATCCGCTAAATAACAATGAGATTACTATCACAGCTAGTGGCATCCCTGTCACTGAAGATGAAAACGTCATGCAAAAAGCTGAACATTTGATTCAGGCACTGGGAGAAACCGTACCACAATATGTTCAGATAACAAGCGCAGTCCGGCTGCCAACAAGATTTCCAAATAAACCAGGCCTTATCAAAATAAGTTTCCAAAATAAAGAAGAAAAAATTTGTGTGCTTAGAAACAAGATAAAGTTAAAAGACACCGATTTACACAAAGAAACTTTTCTTAGAAGCAGTAAATCTCGCATAGAACGGTTAATAGAAATAAATGCACGCACCATCTTGAGAAACTTGCCGCGAGAACGGGAAAGATTACTACGGGTCGATGCAAGTGGACGAATCATACCTCGACAAACCGTGCAGATTGACCAACATGACCAACAAGAGCATTTCTAGTCATTATGGACGCTGGACAAATATGGGTCGGTACTGGAACAAAAGTGTCTTACGATGGACAAATGCTGTATCACCAAACTATCAATTGATATGGACTTCGGTCTGTGACAGTAGTGAAATTTCGATAGACATACTATATCATCCTCAGGAGCAAAATAAAGAAGTTAACGATTTACACAATGTACATACATAATTATAGTCCGTGAGGGAAAATGTAAGATTTATATCCAGGTGACTTATAGGTCCAAAGGGCCGGGTGTAAAGTACTTTTTTTGTATTTAAGTATTTCATGATGTATTACACAAGTCACTATAATAAATAAATAAATTATTATTATTATTATTATTATTATTATTATACGATGCTTTTACTACCGCGTATTAAATCGTCTGTCCTTCAGTGTCGAAATTTATATTGTACATGTATATATATTGTGTATATACGTAATATTGCAGGAAACTGGAGATGGTTTTGTTAAAAGAAATTGCGAAATAAAATTTAGTCCAAGGCTTCATTTAGACAATGAAATGGTAAGCAGTCAGGTATACAAAAGTGTGGTAAAATATTCTTCGCATTGGAATACGTACTTTTTATTTGTGTTTTAAGACTTATAATTTAAAACAATTAATTTTGATTTTTTTTAAGTATAATGTAGAAGAAAAAAAGGATTTCACTTAAAGCGACATATGAGGGCAAACATTCTGCTTGTATTTCAGTGCTATAAAGCGTTGTTTGATCAGAGATGGGTAGAAAGGTAGAAATCCGAAATGAAGAGTTTGAGAAGTTTACTCTCTTGAATAATACATGTGTATTAACACCATTTTATTGATTCTATTGGTGAAAAGATTCGCGTAATGAAGTTATTAAGATTAAGTTCTGTTTTGAATTGACGATTATATTTACTCTGGACGAAATAAATATGCGCGTTTGTGTGTATGGAGATATATTTGAAAGGTTCTGTGCTTTATAAACAGTGTCACAATGAACAGTTGTTCTTGAGGGAGTCTTTTTTTTTTTTTTTAAATTTTTCCTTCTTGTCAAACACATCTAAAACATGTGGATGAGCATTTGTTTCTTATAATTTTAGCCCAAATATGAACTGTTTGCAGTAGTGTACCACAGCGGTGATTTAGAGGGAGGACATTACTATTCAGCAGTGAAACATGACAATGACTGGTATACTTGTGACAACGACCACATCTGGAAGTGTTTTGAAGAAAAAGAAATTTTAAAATTTAGAGATATGTATCTTCTCTTTTATGAACGTAAATAGCATATTACTTGTCAATAAGTATTCAATTGATTAAAATATCGTTTTTGTTGAAATTGAGGTCTTATTATGTAAGTGTACATGTACGTATTTAATAGAGAACCCAAATTATTACAAGATTGATTAAACTTTAAAAAAAAAAATAAAGACTGTATATTGAGTGCATGTTAATAAGATATGATAAGGAATAATGATCCCTGGATAATGAATATCAAAAATGAAATACACACTCTTGGTCTGGCTGACGTGTATCATAGTAATCAAAAAAATTATGTTAGATATAACATATAATAGAGTATGCGACGTTTCAAATAAAAAAAAGTTATATCTGATATACATGTATGTGGATCATTAGATAGCAATTATTTGACTCTTTTTGTTTGCGAGGCCTTTTAAGGAAAAATACACACGTAAATTATAGAAAAGCGGTCACATCTTTTAGATTATCATCATATAACTTTAAGATCGAAACCGTAAGGTATGATGACTTAAAAGGGAGTAAAAGAAAATGACTTATTATATACCTAACTGTTTTCACTCAGTTTTACTGTTGAATTTATGCAATCACGTGACGGATCACCACACTGTGGTTTTCTGAGTCCATATCACCCCTCTCTGAAACTGATGAGTCAGACGTAGTACACAGATAAATGACGTTTTTATTCTGGCGCATCAAAAAGTTCCTTGACAAAATGGTTTATTTAATGGATAAAAGATATGTAATTGATCCAAAAAGTTTTTCTTTTATTATATTTTGCTAGTTGTGACGGGGTATATAATAAATTTATCATTATAACAGTAACTTGATCCGAAGAGCGGTATCACGTCTCGTTGACAGGCGCGGATCATCAGATCAAACTCGACGCTTCGCGTCTCGTTTGATCTGATGATCCGCGCCTGTCAACTTGACGTGATACGGCTCTTCGGATCAAGTTACTGTTATAATAATATATATTTATTTGATTTGAATATAATATTGAGGATTAATTTAATTTTTTATTATATGTCCAGTTTTTCGTAATTTAAGAGACATGTTTATTAAACATACATGTTCTACTCCTGATAACCACGTGTCTTCAATTTAATACAGTTATTTTGTAGTACAAACTCTTAAGACATAAGTATCTTAGAAAAAAACCAAAAAAACTTTAATATCATGCTTCATGCTACATTTAACTAACTACGATTAGAATGATAAAAAAATCAGCCATACGTATGTCAGCATGTAAGTATTTTAAGTTTGTAATTGTGTAACATGTTATTATGCTCTGTATGTACGTGTAATTGTTTAATTCAGAACTGAACTGAATTATATCAATGTATGTTTTCCTGCTTATATATAATATATAATATTTAATTTTTTATAGTCTTGTATGAAATGTTGATCCGATCTTATTACTTCATTCTTGTCCCGACAGAGATAGTTTGAACAAACCTGAAACTACTCCCTATAGTCCTAATGACGCATAAAGATAATAATGTTTGACGGTCTGTGTACTGCATGTAACTTGATTTATTCATAGTGGTTTTGTTCTTGGAATTCATATCTTTAAAAAAGCTACACTTCCATATATTCCTTAGTAAAACGTAAGACCCAACTTTTGATATATTTTTGATTTTTTATATAAAATTACAAAAGCCGAGAGAGAGAGAGAGAGAGAGAGAGAGAGAGAGAGAGTGTGTGTTTTAGAATATGCATGTTTCTTAATCATATTTGATTAAGAAATAATAAAAAGAAAATAAAAGATTTGGAACAAAATCCGGAAAAAAGGAATACTTTTATTGATTTAATAACTTGTGTCATTGCGTCATACATGTGTTTTACTACAAGGTTAAACATAGACCAGTAGAATTTGATTAAGTGATTCACTTGCATTATTTTAACATTTATGGTTTAAATTTAGTAATGACGTAATAAAATAGGGCCAGTTTTTCAGTAGATGACAAAAGCCAAAATATCAGGTCGGTAGATTGGTAAAAAAAAGAGTAAAATTCAGAAACAAAAATCTGTAACTAACCTTCTCCTCCCCTCCCCTACAAATTAAAACTACATACCATTTACCGGTATATTTTGGTAGCCAGAGTTCTTTAACACCCAGCGCTAGCTATAGGCTGATCATTCATTTACGCTACGTGTGATTACTGCATATTATATACGGATGCACAATACAATGTAAGAATTTCTTTCAGTTTCTAATTGACAACAATTATTACTAATTATTTGTACTTTTATTATTGTTTTCCTTTGAACAAAATAAAAAGTGTAGATGGTTTTTATTAGACTGATAGAGGGAGTTATTTCTAGAAATCAAATCAAAAGCGAAAGTAACGTTTAAATTTTCAGAAAATAAATAGTCAGTAGTTGTCATTTAAATCGCGTAAATTGGGTTTTAAACAGTCTGGAATGGAGTTTCAGAGATTGTCGTCTGGATATGCTCGTTCTTTTCACACGGTAATTTGTTTATTTTATAATTATTTTCTGCTCTCAATTCGTAATAATAATTGTACATTAAAGGCTATAGATCTATGTAATTTCCAAGAAAATATAATACATGATGTTATTATGTATAATTTTAGTCTATGTACCAGGACATGAAATTGTCAGTTTAATAGGCTTCATTTTAAAAATTCATTTTAAGGCGTTTGATACAGTTGGCGAAATAAAGGGCCCTATAGCATCCCTTTGTGGTGTTCCTCGTCACTGTGTAGATATTGTTGACCTCGAAGACGGCCTGATATACGAGAATAGCAGAGGAATTTCGAACCTTCCCCGCCCTATTCAAGTGATGATCGGGGCTACTGAGAGGCGTATTCCGTTCTACCTTGTGACCACTGATGTTGATATGATAGAACAGGACCCTTATGACGAGGAACCGAGGTTAAAAATGTCGTGTGGACACGCCATCAGTAAGTGATTTAAATAAAAAAATTTATTATGTTAATATGCATGTGCATCAATTTTCGTCACGGTCCATTTCTTTCGTGATCAATCTATAATAATTATATTTGCATGAATTATGTAGGTTAATTTTGCAGAACAGGGAGCTCCTTGTATATCATTTATTCGAAAATAAAATGAAAGGAAAATGTGATAACCTACAAATTTCGTACTTTAAAGAGTTTTAGCCTTCATAGTTTGCCATTGGATTTCAAGTATATAAATTCAACCAACATGTTTATTCAATTTGCAGCACCATACAACTTATTTGGACATATGAGAGATACATTGATGAACAAAGTGAGACATTCTATTTGTTGCCTTACTCCAGTTTGCCTACAAGAATGGAGTCTTCGAGAAGTGGCACAGAAAGCTGATATGACAGATGACGAAAGGATTTTCTTTGAATATAAAATTTCACTAAATGCTATTCTTCAAGGCAACGGCGAGACATCTGAATGTCCAAATTGTGGTCAATTTTGTCAACGTCAACACAATACCAAAGCGGTTCATTGTACTCGCTGTGCATTAAAGGGATTGGACAAACAGTTTGATTTTTGTTGGGATTGCAAATCTCCATGGGTACCAAATCATGCCTGTGGAAATCGAGACCTCGAAGCCATACAAAAAATCCTGAATGATGCCCCAAAGAAAACTTTAGATTATTCCAAAATTGAAAATGTCCCTTCGAAGAGACTCTGTCCAAATTGCAGAACTCTAATAGAACATGAAAAGATGTGTAAACAAATGAGATGTCCGAGCTGTAAGTCTGAATTCTGCTTCTCGTGTTTAACTCTCTGTGTAAACCAAAGATTGCAGTGTTCTGGGTATAGCACACAGTGCAACGTTGCTCCAGTTCAGGATGTATTCTCTTCATGAACATATTACAGTGTCTGAGTGACTTCTTTAATATGTTTTCAATGCAAAATTTGTGGATGAAAACAGGGATAAGTATCAATTATCTAGCGTTGGTAAATATTTATTAAATAAATCTTTAAAGATACAGATACATATAAGCTCATTGTTTTATTTAAGAATCAAAGTCACTATTAAAGAAAGCGAAGAAAATCATCAAGACTTAAAAATGCATGTGATTTAATATGCAATCTGAAATACCAAATGATTATATATTTTAAAAGATATCACATCGTATAAAACAGCAGGTATGCGTCATGAGATTTCAAAGCCTCCTGCAGGGTCGAATGTCTTACACGGCTGTCATTGCAATAGTACCAATCCCCTGCATCACTGTGATGTAAAAGGTGTTTTACAAATGATGTGTAGTGACCACCATGTACTGAGCCATGATGGTTCACAACACCGTATAGATGATAATTCACAATATTTCCATTCTGAAAGAAAAAAAATATCAATACAAAAAATCTAGTCCAGGAGTTCTGGTTATTGAAAACTATTAGAGAATCTACTGAATGGAAAATTATCCAAAAGCCCTGGTGCATACTTTCCCAAATCAAAGCAATTGAAATACAGGATATAATAAACAAAAGAAGAGAAAATAACATGCATGAACGGATAAAATTGTTTTAAGCCTAAGAGTAAATAAAGAAAATATGTATGTCGATTTATTAATTTATATGCCAGCTTTGTAGCTATATCATTTAAAAAAAATCTATGGTGTTTAATATTCATTTTTTTAAAAGATTCGGGTGGATGTATTTTATCAGAACTGAAAACATACTTTTTTATTTCCATGTTACTCATTTCTTACAAAGTACACATATTTTACTGTTAAGAAATGAGGCTGATTGGGGGAGAAAAGAAAAATAAATGAGAAGAGGAAAAAAGTGGGAAAAGGAGAAAGAAAATAGGAGAGAAGAGAATATACGAGGAGGAAAAACGATCCACTCTCTTTATATAAAGTTTCTATGCCTTCTTCATAAGACAAAATTTCTCAGTTTTTACTATATATAGTGAACTGGAGATTAAATTTGCTGATAACATCAATTTAGTTGTGCAGGGATGAATAACATTCTTTTCTAGATTGCTTGACTTTTTACATTTGTTTATAGATTCTGATTAATCTTAAAATATATCATGATTCTAAGATCTTAAAGTTAAATATTACCGATTGTGGTACTCTCAGTTTTTCAGGAAAGCCGATACTTTTATAAGATTTTGCAATGTGGAGGTGACCACCAAAACTCATCTGAAAAATCCATAAAACTTAATTTTTAAGAGACCCAAGTTAGAAATATTCAGTTCTCGGATAATGATAAACAACACGAAGTCCACATATCTGATTATTATTTGATAAAATGTTAATCTCTGTATACCTCCTTAAAACACCCAAGCTGAAGTACGAGAACTTTGGGCAATGTACGAAATCTCATTGCTTTTCTTGTTTTTCCTTTTCTTGATAAAAATCCTAGAAGTATGCATGAATGTAAATGAAATTAAATACATTATTTTACGTAATGCAATTAAAGTAAAACTCATAATAATGAAAATACGACATTGTAGATGTTATTACCATCTGTCCCACATTCTCTACAAGGGACATCTGCTTCATCAAATTCTTCCTCATAAAGCAGTGTTTTCAAACCTTCTTCTACATTCTGAAATGTTTCTGTATAATTCACACTGGGTTTTTTTTCTTAGTAAAAAGATCTGTTCTTAAGTATTTTGTGAAAACTTACATATGATTCTGAAGGAAGAGTTAGACTTCTCATAATCTGAATATCTGTTACTTCTTTCTACAATCAAACATTGTACTTTATTTACACTTCCTTCAATACGTTGGGTTCATACTAAAAAGATAAATATACTGTTATCATATACCTACATGATCACAGGAATCAAAAGCAAATTCATCAACCATTTCAATTTCAAATACAAGTGTTGTGTCTAAATAAGAAAGAAAGTGAGAACTATTAATTTGTGATTTAGAAAGTAAATAATAAATTATTCGATCTACGAAAGCTAGACGCGGATCTTATAGAATATATAATGTGCCAAGTATATCAATTTAACTTACTCTTTAACATGACACAAATACAAGAGGCTGTTTGCATCTGTAATTGTAATTTAAAATATTTATCTAGAAATAATGATAACAAATATTCAAAATTATATTTTGTCTGATGTAACCGTGTACCTTTTGCCTGATTTTCATCGTGTAATTCACTTAAGAGTGTAAGCAAAAACGAGTGACAGTCATTTTGGAATCCAATTCGAAATTCATGTTCTCTGAAAGTATCCAAACCATTAGCAAACAATGACATTTATAATGTTTGATATTTTTTTTTTAATTTTGAACATAAAAAAAGAACAAGGAGATTCAAAGCAGAGAGTTATTTTCACCTGCTCGAAACAATGTTCATTAACGTCGCTATCAGTCCAGACTTTCCAGAAGTTACCGACTTCATTGAATGTAGTAGGTTACGGAAAGCAGTCGTAACTGCTGTTTTCTAGAAAAGATAAAAAACGCATGTTTGCCATTGCCATTGGAAAGAAATGGCAACAGAAAAATGAACGTGAGAAAATTAAAGATACATGAACGATATCGCTCAATATACAAAGAAAACCACAAATGAAGTGGTATTATATTTTTCAACTTCTGAATTGATTTTAAAATTATTTATAATAATACTTTTTGTTCACAATAATGGTAAGTGCAAAATTCTTTTTTACCATTTGATGATTTACACCTGTCGAAACATGTTCCCTACAGGAAAACAACCTTTCATGCAGAAATGGCGTTTGTCCTAACACCTGAAATAACCATAGACCGTTTTTGAGACACATATCATTGTGGCCTTTTTGTGTTTTTTTTTCTCCTGAAATTAACTTTCCAGTTTTTGTAAGTATACTCTTCTCTTCGATAATACTGATTACCTGAAGCAAAGAATTAGCGTAGCAGGTGTTCCCTATGTTAGGAAGCCCCTAAAAATCAGAAAAAAAAATCCAAGGAATGGATACACACATTTCAATGAAATTAAGAAAAAGGATTGTTTTGTTCATAATAAGATTGATGTGCTTGAATATGTCACAAATACTTTTGGTGGTTCTCTCCCTTGTACTATGGATTCACCAGTTGTATGAAGAGGTGGATCCTGTAAAATACATGAACTTTTTGTCTTGAAATATTTAAAGTGATATGAATAACAATTAATAATATTTTTTATGTACTTTAAATATAACTACTGATGATCCATGTTGTATGCTTAGTCGTAATGTACAATGTTAAGTGTCAGTTGAAGGTTGCTTTAAATTCTGTTGATTTCAGAATTTATTTCATTAAAAGTGATTTACTTATGTTCATTAATGAATGCTGCTATTTAGGTAGCTTGCCAAATTTCAAGTAATGGAGTTTTTGCATGTGATCTATCAATTAACATAATGTACTAAACATTATCACATTAAACGCGTGAAAATTAAAAAAAAAAATGCGAAGTGTTTCTACTTCTTGAAATACACCAAAAATATAGTTATAATACATAACAAAATCTGATCCATGAGCAATCTCAAACATTTGCTAGTTTTGCGAGACTATTTCTCAAGATATACTTGTTGATACTTAGCATTTAATTAATAACATTTACAACTACATACACCATGATTTATTTACGAAATTTACAGTGTATCATTAAATACTTACATTTTTCTGGATAATTTGTCTTGAAGAAACCTCTCCATGGAGTTTAATTTCATCCCGTTTTAAATGATTGCTAAGGCTTGAGTCTTTTTCCATGTTGAATGTTGGTGATGCTCCAAATGAATGTACCTTAAAGAATAATTTAGAAAACAAGAAAAGGATATAAATTTCATTCAAATATAACAAGAATGATGATCTATGAAATCAATTCTTGTACCTGTGCTTTCTCCATGTGTCCAGAATTTATTTGGTAATTGGGATTCTTTTCTTTAGCTTTCTGAATAATATTAATATTACAAATGCACTTTAGATATTAAGAATATGATTTATTATTCTTCAGAAATATTAATGTCACATACTCTCTCTCCCTCCCTCTTTCTCTCTCTTTCCTTTCACTCGTAAAGCGCGTTAGAAGACGGAAGTGAAAAAGAAATAGAAAGCAAAAGCGAATGGAAAAGGTGTAACAATTTTAATACATACTGCACTTTTATTCCGTTTTTTTTCTTCAAAGCGTTTAATGTTTTTTGCATTCGGTGGGCTTTTTGAAACTCTTGCATCTTGGATTTTCTGATAAGGATTGAAGTACGGATTGCTTATGTTGTCATACGATTCTCGGTCCAAGCTAGACAACTGCAGTACAAATTAATTGTCAAATTATTTTTTTATTAAACAAGAAATGAGATAATAATAAAATGCATTTTTGGTGACATATATAGATAAGACAGAGATTTAAAAAAAAAAACAAACAAACAATAAATTAAATACGCCTTTAGATTTAAAATAATGTGTTAAAATAGGAAAATAATTGCACCGATTTATATTACCCTTGGTCTAGAGTACACCGGCGGCGTATCACTTTTCTCGTTTATGTTAGGAAGTCGTGATCTATGACCTTGTTTTGTTTTTCTTGGTTTCAGATTTCCGATATGATTCAGGTCCGCTGTCGTACACTGTAAAAAAAAACCCACAAAATTAATGTGTTACCAAGATAATTTTCTACTAAAAAATGAATTATTGAAAAAAAAAAAAAAAGATTGAATGACTTACCAGTTCAGTTTGTCTTTCTTTAACGCCTTGTTCGAAATATGTGGCAGAAGGTTTTCTGAATTCGTGTACGCCTGGCTTCGTCGAATGATTATAATCCTGTTAAACAACTTACAGCTGTAAATACTTTTATCAATACGGAGAAAAGCAACATACAAAGGCTATGTAAGTTAACTTCACGAAAGGATTATTTTATACTGACCTCCTGTTTTGAATGTTGCTTGTCTGTAATGAAGGAGAACTGTTTCAATTGTAATAGTTATGAATTATATTTGTTACATTTTCAAAATGAAAAATTGTTACATTTTGTGCTATGTGCATGTTTTATTTTGAAATTCATTGTCTGATCTTGGAATATACAATTAAACACTTACCATGTTCAATCTTTTTTGCATAGCTTTGAGCAATTTGTTGCCCTCGAATATTCCGAGATTTTCTGAAGGAGACAAATTCTGACTAAATTTTAAAACTACCTCGAACCTAGCATGCACATATTTAAAAAAAATGAATAGAATTAGTAACGAGCATAAAATTAAAATAATAACTGATTTTCTTACATTTACATCTTACTGAATCTTATGCACGTGTAGACAAAAATTGAAGAAAAATAATAGATTAATAAAACAAGAGGCCCAAGGGCCTTAACGGTCACCTGAGTACAACAATTTAGAGGATCCATAAACTGATAAACGAAGCTTTGTTGCCCAATAGCAAGGAAAATAGTACGATTAAGATCATAATAGATGTCTCTATTATTACCTCTCACATTGGCCTCACTTGGCCTTTGAAGAACATTTAAAAAGATAAGTTATTTTTGTTTCATTTTTTTTTTCATCTATTATTTCCAAGTCTACCTGATTATTGAAACTATGAAAATACTTTTTGCATTATACAACAAATGTTCTTGCATAATTTTCTTATTCTATTAATCTTTCAAATACATTATCTACAGTGATTAATTATCAAAGGTGAATGGCAAAGGTGAATAACTTCACTCAGTAGAATACAAATTAATAGAGCCCTGGCAAGGACCAGAACACTTGACTAAATTGTCCAGATGTTCAAAATTCTGGTAAAAATACCTTGCTTATTAAAACTTTTACTCTGTTTGCTTCTAATATGCCCAGGAGCAGAGGAGATTTTCAAATAAATAATGCATTTTCACTATTTAACACAGCCCTACCCTAACACCAGAACCTATGACCTAGGGTCATGAAAATTTACAAATTTGGAAGAGGTACCCTCATCATCATAACTATGCAATTAGTTGAAGATTTTCAAAGATTTAATGCATTTTCACAATATAATCAATAGAGCCCCCCCCCCAACACCAGAACCCTTGACCCAGGGGCCATAAAATTCACAATTTTGGAAGAGGCAGTCTTGCTCAACATAACTATGTAGTTAGTTAGTTTATTTAATACCCACGAGCAGAGAAGAAGATTTTCAAAGAAATAATGCACTTTCACTATATGATGTATATAGCCCCACCCTAGCACCACAACCCCTGACCCTGGGGCCATGAATGTCACAATTTTGATAGAGGGCTCATTGCTTATCACAATCATGCCAACAGTTTGACTGCTTGATGTCCAGGAGTAAAGAAGAATATTTTTTAAAATTGCATTAATTTTGGTGGTTTTAGCCCCACCCCTCAGGCCCCAGGGAGGCAGGGACCATGAAATTCACAATTTTTGTTTCCCTTTACCCATAGGTGCTATATGCCAAAATTAGTTGAAATTGGTTGAGTGGTTTCAGAGAAGAAGCTAAAAATGTTTAAATGTTAACGCACGACGCACGACGAACGACGAACGCCGACGGACAAAAACGGATAGCAATAGGTCACCTGAGTGACTCAGGTGACCTAAAAAAACGAACTGACAGAAAAATAAAACAAAAACTGAATGCTTCGTCATATTACGTTTGAGATATCGTGATAACCAAATTGTGGCTATGAATGGGAATCAAGCATTAAATAGACATGGTGATCCTGACTTTTTTCTTTTTTATTCTACTGGAAAACAGGAGTTTAATATAAAAAAATAAGGCATACTTTAAAACCTGGCCTGGTCCCTTTGGCCTGGCCTGGCCTCGAAGTTGGACTGACCTCTATTTTGGCCTCTTATTTGGCTCCAAACAAATTTCTTTATTGTCTTGATAATTCACATTTATGCTTCTAAACTTTTTATTGTGTAGATATCATCAAACCTGACTTGGATATTAAAGAAATATATATTCACATTTATTAAACCATTGCAGTATTTTCGCATTGAAAGTAGAACTATATGCTCTGTGCTATAGTCTTCAAAAATTGAAATAAAATCAATCAAACTTTCAAAAAGAAACTATATTTTAGGTGAGGCCAAAATTGAAGCCAAAAATTTTACAGAGGCCAAATCTGAGGCCAGGCCAACTTTTAAGGCCAGGCCAAAAATTGGTTTGGAGACAAATTAGAGGCCAAAATAGAGGCCAGGTGAACTTCGAGGCCAGGCCAGGCCAAAGGGGCAGGCCAGGTTTTATAGTATGCCAAAAAATTAAGGGAATGTCTTTTAATAAATGACTAAAAAAAATCCTATTTTAGAGTTTTAGGCGAATGTTTTCGTTAATTTAGGTACAAGCCAGACTCCTTTAGGTGTCTTTTTTGATTTTCAGTGCCAATGGAATAAATTCTAGACAAATGAATTAGAGTGTAAATATCTAAGTTACAATCTTAGTCAAGAGGACATTCTGAAGCTAAATAGGAAAATATATTTCTTTGCTCGTCA